TATCATACCATGAGTGTACCTGTCCATTTTCTGTATTATCCTTTACAGTATTTTGTATCAAGTATTGGAACCTTCTACCAGCAGACTTGTTGGATGGATCTAATAAGCTGTCACATAAGGAATTTACAAACGTGGTCTGCTTGCATATAGTATGCAACGCCTTTGTATAGTTAATATGATTCTTAACAAAACAGCAACCCGATAAGGAGTTAAGAGATGCTTAACAACAAATCGAATAACTATATCACAGTATGTGGTTTATATGAACAGAGTTGGGGAAACAAATGATTCTGCCAGAACTACAAATTTCTATTTTTCAGGATTTAAATAATGATCAAGAGACCATATAGTACTTGCCCTTCTTTACTGTACAAGGGCAAAAAGAAATTACTGATAAACAGGCATTATACATTTCTGTATATACTCATCTTTTATTATGGAGTTTAGAATGAGTTCTTGCTTAACTTTAGGTGAAAGGAATCACCTCAAGGTTTTGTTACTCAGTCTCTATAGAGTATGGGTGTTTGACATTAAATGAGTCTTAGCTTAAAACTTATAAACTAGTTTGCTATCAAAGCAGGGGTTCAAATAAAAGTTCTAAATAACTGGCTTGACATTTCCCACACTTTTCTATTAAATGACCAGGTCTCCAACCCTGTCTACCAAATACTGTTGAAAGAACAACTTTCTTAAATGTATTTGGGCATCATACCCTACATAAGAACTGTATTGCAGTGGATAGAAAACTGACAGTAGAGAATTTTATAATTATCGGCCCATGGAACCAGTTTCACAGACAAGTTCTCTGGAAAATAGCATCAATACCTTGGATGTTGTAGCTTTGTAGTGAAGAACTATATACCTCCCAACCTAGAATAAATGGTGGCCGTTAGAATTATACACTCTAATTACCTTGTCTTCTTCCCAAGATGTCATAGTATATTAATGTCTAAAAAAGTAGCCCTGTTGGTATAGCACAGTGGATTGAGAAGTCCCAGTTCAATTCCTGGTCTGGACACATGCCCGGGTTGTGGGCTTGATCCCCAGTAGAGGGAGTGCAGGAGGCAGCTGATGGATGTTTCTCTCTCACATCGATGTTTCCATCTCTCTCCCTTCCTCTCTCTTTAAAAAAAAAAGGTAGCCCTGGCCAGTTTGGCTCAGCGGTTAGTGTCAGCCCATGGACCAGAGAGTTGCGAGTTCGATTCCGGCCAAGATGTACCTCAGTTGCAGTTCATCCCGGGCCCTGGTGGGGGTCATGTGGGAGGCAACCAATCGCTGTTTCTCCCCCCCTCCCCCAACTAAGCATAAATGGAAAAAATATTCCCAGGTGAGGATTAAAAAAATAAATTAAAAAAAAATTTTTTTAAAGTAATTAACACCCTGGCCAGCACACATACCCAGGTTGCAGGTTCAATCCCAGGTTGGGGACATGCAGGAGGCAACCAACTGTATCTCTCTCACACTGGTGTTCCCCCTCCCATCCACTCTCTTAAAAGAAAACGTAATTCACATACTTGGTTCAAGACTTTTTTTAAATCCTCACCTGAGGATATATTTTTCCATTTATCTTCAGATAGAGCGGGGGTGGGGGGATATCAATATGAGAGAGACACATCCACCAGTTGTAGGGATCGAACTGCAACCAAGGTACATGCCCTTGACTGGAATCGGACCCGCAACGCTTTGGTGCATGGGCTGATGCTCTAACCGCTTAGCCAAACCGGTCAGGACTGGTTCAAGATACTTATATTTGGTTTTCTTTTAACACAGTCAGCCCTATTATAACTACCTGTAGTATTCCTTTGGAAGCACCATTTATGACTTTGCACTTTACAAATATCACTCCAACTGAAAGGCAGAGAATGGACTATAAGATGCAAAACTGGAGGTTGGAAGACAAACCAGGAGGCTATTAGGGAGAAAAGTGATGGCCTGCATTACAGGGTAGAAAGGATAAAAAGAATGGGATAAATATGAGAGATTTAAAAGGAATAAACAAACAACCCCCACACACACAAAACAAAAAAAGGAATAAGCAAGATTTTATATATTTTTAATCCTCATCTGAGGATACTTTTTCATTGATTTTCAGATAGAATGGAAGGGAGGGAGGGAGGGAGGAGGAGAGAGAAACATTGATTGGTTGCCACCAGCACGACCCCTACCAGGGCTGGGGATCAAACCTGCAACCCAGGTACATGCCCTTCACTAGAATTGAATCCGAGACCCTTCAGTCCTTGGGGAAACGCTCTAACTGCTGAGCCAAATGGCCAGGACAACAAGATTTTATTATTTGGGGGATGAAAAGAAAATATGACTCCCATATTCTAAGCAACTAGGCAGCTAGTGGTGCCAATGACTGAGACAGAAAACAGGAGGAGCAGGTTTGAGGGAGAGAATGAATTCATGGTGGGACATTTGGGTGTGAGGCCCTAATAGGAATTCTACTTCAACACAGTTGATGGATTTGAAGATGGGAGGTCTACAAATTTCTATTATCTGTTTATGGATAACAAATCAACCCAAATTCAATGGCTTAAATAACATTATCTTGTCACCAAGCAAGGACTCACTGCCCATTGCACATTTGCTTTTGAGAAAATGTTTTACTGTGAAGTCAACCAGCAAGGAGACAGAAAACAAGGCTCAAATCTGTCTTCTGATGCAGGGTGTTGTTGTTTTTTTAAGGGATTAGGGCTAACAGGCTGGTATATGAAAGTGCTGGCGAGGCAGGTTTTGTATGAAGAACTTTGGAACTTGGCCATTTATGGTAAGATATGGTATGGGGCTTCAGCACCAGATCTTCCTGGAACAACTGGCCCTTTAGTTCTGAAAGGGTTCCAGTGTTCAAGTTCCAGTCATGTCCCAGTCCTTTTGTTCAGGGAGGTGGGGGGAAGAATGGCTTTGGTTCTGCGTGCGAGTGAAGGTCAAAATGTCTCCTCTGAATATGCTTCAGCTGCATGACTTGTGGTTTTGGTCTCTGTCTCTGAAAAGCAACTCAGTATCTTGTCAGAAACAGGACAGAGCCAGTTTGAGCTGATTCTACAGTTTCGATTACAATTTTTATGGGTCAGGAATCTGTGAGCAGCACAGCTAGGTGGTTCTGCCTCAGGGTCTATGAAGAGTCTGCAGTCATCTGAAGGTCTGATTGGGGGAGGATCCACTTCCAAGCTCATTCAAGTGGTTGCTGGCAAGCTGCCAGAGTAGCCTCAAGACATGGTAGCTGACTTCACCCAGAGCAAGTAATGAGTGAAGGAAAGAGAGGGGAGGAGAGATGGGGAGAAAAGAACACTCAGGGTGGAAACTATAGTCTTTTTATAACTTAATCTCAGAAGTGACATCCTATAATGTCTGCTAAATTCTATTTGATAGAGGCAAGTCACTAAGTGGAGCCCTCACTCAGGTGGAGGAGAATGAAGGCCCATCACTTCAGTATAAAAGAATTTGTGGGCATATGACATTTTTAAACCACCACAATATCACATCCAGATTCTTAACCTTCCTAAAGCATAGTTCATCCCTACCTCCTGTTCTTCCCTAGCACCAGTTCAAACCTTGTATCTACGATTTCTCCAAAGTATAAACCCTCAGCTGGAAAACGAATCAGGTCCTTAACCTACCATTCTAGCCTCATCTCCCATCCCTTCCTTCTGCACATTCCCGATCCAGCCTTACTGCTTACTACTTCCAAACACCACCGTGCTCTTTCACTTGAATTCATACCATTCCCTTGAATGCAGGTGACGCATCTGACAGCCCCAATGCTCTTTTCACGCACTAGAAAACGCTGACAAGTGAGGCAGAATGTAACAACTCATCATCTTGTGCTAAAACTCATTTCACACCTTATACTACAATAAACAAGTGAGAGTAGGTACCAAAGATTTAAGAAAGTGTCTTCCACTAGTTGATCAACGACAAAGGCATTATTGCAGAACAGCAGAACACCCTTTCCTCCAGCTTTGGCAATACGGAAGGAGCATGGGGGGGGGGGGACGACGGGGGGACGGGGGACGGACTGACATGGACAGTCTCCTCTCATTCTCTAACATTTCCATACCTAGTTCCAAAAAGACTAGAACCATCCTGAAGTTCCGTCAAAAAGCTCCTAAATAAACTATTGTTTATCTACCTGCGGGAAGGTCAATCGGAGTTTAAAAAAAAAAGGATAAGGCAGAGCATTCAGGACTGACTTGGCCAACTTCCGAGATATATTAGGAAGAAAAGTCAATGAGTCAACTAGGCTACTATTTGTGTTAAAATAAAAAAGCTGACATTCAAACCCGGCCAAACACAGAGAGAAAAAGTTGTAACTATTTCCTAAACATGCCTGGGTCCCAGGAGAAAGTTAACAGCGGTCCCTCCGGGGCTGTGCGGCAGGACGGAGACCTTGCACCGTATTCCAGCCTGCACCTTACGTTTATATGCTCTTACCTCCCACCTCTGTGAAACCCGAGGCGCACCGGGCTCCTCTTTCGGGGCCCCACACCGCTTAGCGACGTGGCTGGTGTTTCCCGTGCCTGAGTCCACGGAATTCTCACCAGCGGTGGGGAGGTTCCCGCCACCTTCGCGTTCGAGGAGGCTGGCTGGGCAGGGTAAGTGGTTCGCTCGAAGTCACCTGGCAGGTGCGTGGTGGGGCCTGAACTCTCCGCACGCCCCTCGCGGCCGGCCCAAACGCTGGGTCCACGGAGAGCGGATGACTCCACTGGGTGCGTGGACAGGCCTCCTCTCCCGCCTCCAAGCGCCTGCTCGATGTCTTTTGTGAAGAGACCAAAAATGTCGCCAGACTGTCCCCGAGTCTCACGGAAGCACGAAGCAGAAAGGACGGAGAGGCGTTACCTCAGGGAAGAGACTGGGACTGCAGGAGCAGCAACACTCAATTTGTTCGCACCCGCCAAACCTCTACGGCGCGACGCCCGGAAGTGACGCGAGTCCCGCGCCACGCCCCCTAACTTCCGGCTACACGCCTGGACCGGCGCGTGCGCTCGGGGAGCCAGCTGTGGGGTTCCGCACGCGCGTTTGCACGCGGTGAGGGAGAAATGGAGGACTCTGCTTCAACCCCACCCGCAACCTCCGCCTCGACCTCAGCGACCCCGGCCGCACTGGAACAGCTGGATAAAGAGCAGGTGAGAGGCCACCAGGAGGGGGGTTCGGAAGCGAGGTGGCCGTGGCGCTGTGATACGCGTGGTGGTGGAGGCGGGCTTCGTGCCTCCTTGGATTCTCCCGGAGCTTTGAGAGGGTCACTGGTTCGCGGTGCTCTCACCCTGCCGGCTCTTTTATACGCACGGGTAGTTGCCGGCCTATCCCAGCCCTGCGGCCTAGTTCTCTTGAATTGGGTTGCAGTCGTAGCTTGGGATCCTTGGGCGAGGTGTAACTGGCTCTGCTTCCCCACCGTTTGACTGGGGCCTTGTCCTTTAATTTTGCAAACTTCCCTTACCTCGTATTGAAAATGGGCTCTGTTGCCCTCCGCTCTGCAGGATCAGAGGCGGTAATAACACGTAAAGCGCTGTAGCCAGGTGCCTGGCATATCGGAAGCGCTCCGTAATTAATAGTTGTAGTGTCGCGCATTTACTGTGATGACTGCATCATCGCAAACGGGAAGCATGTTTCATCTGGCACTTTTCTTCAGACGAGTGCTAGAAACGGATACTTAGTTTCTGATAGTCTTATGTTACTGTGATTACAAATTGTATCCTTCCTAATAGTTACGGTTTTGGAGATTGCCTAGTAAAATAGAACTCGAGCAGAAAAAAGGGAAAAGGTGTGGGGAGAGGACACATGCTAAATTAGATTGAGGTTTAATTTATTTGTGTGTCTTCACTTTGCAGATCAGAAAGGCAGTGGAAGCTCTGTTGGCACATTCCAGGTCCAGGAAAAACGCGAATGGATTGCTTTTGAATGAGAATGAAAATTTCTTTTTAATGGTGGTGTTATGGAAAATTCCAAGTAAAGAACTGAGGGTCAGATTGTAAGTTATGGTTTTCTGTCTTTGCTGTTTTTCTCTGCTTTGTCAATTCTGTGTAGCTTGAACAGTCGCAATTTAGTTTCTAATGGAAACTTTGAAAACTCAAAATCTGAGTTGATATAAATAATTGTGCCTTAAAAGAAACATAGGAATTCAGACGAGCTTTAATTTTCTAGAAATTTGTTTTCTGGGTGCTTGGTGGACAATTAACCTAAGCAGTTCTATTGAATTTGAAACCCATTTTTTGAGAGAACAAAAGTTGGAATAAATTAAACAGCTTTTGTATTTTAATAGAATCTGTTATCTTTCCATGTCAAGCTAGTTCAAGCTAAAACCCCTGAGGTCCCAGACTGGATTCTTTTTACAGAGACTATTAAAAACTTGCCCTGGCTGGTTTGGCTCAGCGGTTAGAGCGTCGGCCTGCGGTCCTGAGAGACCCAGGTTTGGTTCCCGCTAAGGGCGCGTACCTCGGTTGCAGTTTGTCCCCGGCCCTGGTTGGTTGTGTGGGTGGCAGCCACTCCATGTGTCCCTTTCACATTGATGTTTCTCTCTCTCTCTCACATTGATGTTTCTCTCTCTCTCTCTCTCTCTTTGTTCCTCTCTCTCCCTCCCACTCTACCTGAACAAAAAATGGAAAAATGTCCTCGGGTGAGGATGAAAAACAAAACAAAAACTTGGCAGTGCCTTGGCCGGTTTGGCTCAACGGTTAGAGCATCAGCCTGCGGTCCCGAGAGACGTGGGTTCGGTTCCCGCTAAGGGCATGTACCTTGGTTGCAGTTTGTCCCAGGTCCTGGTCGGTCGTGCGGGTGGCAACCACTCAATGTGTCCCTTTCACATCGATATTTCTCTCTCTCTCTCTTTCTCTTTCTTTCTCTCCCTCCCACTGTACCTGAACAAAAAATGTCCTCGGGTGAGGATAAAAAAAAAACCACAAAACTTGGCAGTGAACTTGTTGTGTAAAAGAAACCAATGGCATTTACATATTCTTATTGCTAGAACTGTTAGGTCAGAGATGCCTCCTCTGCGCCAGACTTAACAAATAAAAACACAAGTAATTTTTTAGTATAAGTTAATTATTTAAAAATAATTAACATTTAACTGGGTGTCCTGTCTTCTATCTGGCAACACTGCCTCTCTGTGGAGCCCCTCATTTCCTGAGTATCAAAAAGCCAGCTCTGCTAAAGAAAGCGGTGTATAGGGTAGATGGTGTCTATTCTTTTTGGGTGGTGAGGGGGGCAAGAATGATTACAAATTGACAAGACCCTTTTGATCCTGAGGTGCTCCGTTAAGTAATGTTTACAAGCCTGTCTCAGCCAGATTGCCTTAGTTATTGCTTTATGTATCCCCCCTGCATGCTTTTTTCCACACCTTTGCTCAGGACATTTTTCTCTCTGGAAAGCTTACCTTCTCTAGAATTTTTTCCCATCCTCTCACCTCTTGGTTATTTCTGCTGCTTACCAGCACTTCCCACATCATTTGGCAGGTCATGCTACTCAGTATTACTCTTCTTAAACTAAGGAAATGTTTCCTTAGAACATGTAGGCCTAGGAAGTATGTTAAACCTTTTTTTTTTCTTTTTAAGACTCAACATAATAATAATGGCATGTTTGTTAGTCCCTCTTGGTTTGCTCCATGTTTTTTGTTACAGCTCTTAAGAGCTATGTTGTTTACAGAGCCCAGAACTTTCTGCAAGGTAAAGTTCGGAACCAGAACTGTCCTGCTGAAAATCAATTCTAGCACATTATAGGACGTGTACATATATAGTAACATATAAAATAATAGTTATGTATGCACTGTTTTGGGTGTCTTTGAACTCTTATTATATCCCAAATATTGATATTTTGGCCTATGGGTATTTGTGGTGACTTACTTCCATGTTAAATCTTTCTTCTGTACCATTGAAAACCAGGCATATTTTTTAATGTTCTCAATATAGTATTTGCTTAAATAGCAAGAATGAAGTTTATTGAAATGACAGTAAATTTACTGTATGTTCTGTGGAGTATGAACAGACATTCTGTGAATAATTTATTCCTTGGTTTTCTTCTCATGTATTTTGCAGGTTCTTGCCTCACGGTATTCGGTCAGATTTAGCAGATATCTGTTTATTTACTAAGGATGAACCCAATGTAACTCCTGAAAAGACAGAACGTTTTTATAAGAAGCTTTTGAACAAGCATGGAATTAAAACCATTTCTCAGGTAGGGAGCAGGTTAATATTTTCAAGACAATTAAAAGATTCAGTTCAATTGAAGTGATAAGTAATACATTGCTGTGTTACTTAGTATTTCTCTCCTAGGAATTTAATTTTTAATTTTTTGTTTTTAACATAATTCTCCTTGGCTTTAGGTAGGGCATATTCCATCTTTCCTCTGATGGCTCAGCTGTCAAGGTTTGTTGACCCAAAAGTTCACTGTGTACATCAGTAACTTTCTTGAAGATTTTACAAACAGTTGCTCCATTAGGTCATTTCCTCTGTACTTCCAGAGGAGGAAGTGTTTGCCTCTCACTTGGCACTTCTTACCCTGTTTTGTAGTTGCTGGTGTCATTTCTTTAGCTGAGGTCCCATCTCATTTGTCTCCATGTTCCCAGCATTTAGCATACTGGCACATGTTAGACACTCTCATGTTCACTAAACTATGGCTCCAGAACATTTTAAAATCTGAATACACATTGTTGCCCAAGTATTTCTTCTTCTTGCTTATGTTCTTAACTATTTGTGTTCTGTGTTTTCTAGATTATTCCCCTCCGAACTTTAAAAAAGGAATATAAAGCCTATGAGGCCAAACTCCGCCTCCTGGGTAGTTTTGACTTGTTCCTTACGGATGCAAGAATCAGGCGGCTCTTACCCTCACACCTTGGAAGACATTTCTATAAGAGAAAGAAGTAAGTTTCTGAGCAATGACGACTAGAGCAGCATGAAGTTTATAGGCATGTATGCATTGTACTCTAAATGTCTGCGTGTCGTTACAGAGTTCCAGTACCTGTAAACCTTAAAGCCAAGAATCTCTCCAAAGAGATCAACTCCTCGATAGGCGGAACTGTCTTAAACATCTCTAAAAGTGGTTCTTGCAGGTAGGTAAAAGGCATTAATGTACCTATGCTTAATCTTATATTTAATAATGATTTTATAAACTGTTTTTACGAGATGGTGCTTATGAAACCAGATCTCTCTGTTAAAACTAAAATCCAGCCCTGGCCGGTTTGGCTCAGCGGTTAGAGCGTCGGCCTGCGGTCCTGAGAGACCCGGGTTCAGTTCCCACTAAGGGCACGTACCTCGGTTGCAGTTTGTCCCCGGCCCTGGTCGGTTGTGCGGGTGGCAGCCACTCGATGTGTTCCTTTCACATCGATGTTTCTCTCTCTCTCTCTGTTCCTCTCTCTCCCTCCCTCTCTACCTGAACAAAAAAACTGGAAAAATGTCCTCGGGTGAGGATAAAAAAAAAAAAAAAAAAAACTAAACTAAAATCCATTCCTTAGACATATTCTGTTCTCTATAACAGTACTGTCCCATAGAACCTTCTACAGAGATGGAAATGGCCTGGATCCCTGCTGTCTCCTACAGGGGTCATTAGTCATATGTGGTTGTTGAGCACTTGCAGTGTGGCTATTGCAGCTGAGGAATCAAATTTCTAATTTTATATGACCTTAATTAATGAATTAGGTTGTTTTTTTTTCCCGTCATTTCCCGTCACCTGAGGACAATTTTGCATTTATCTTCAGATAGAGTGGGAAAGAGAGAGGGAGGAAGAGAGAGAGAGAGAGAAACATTGATGTGAGAGAGACACATCAACTGGGTGCCACCTATACAACCTCGACGGGGCTGGGGACAACCTGCAACTGAGGTACATGCCCTTAGTGGGAACTGAACCCAGGTATCTCTGGTCTGTGGGCTGACGCTCTAACCGCTGACCCAAACTGGCCAGGGCTAATTAGGTTTTTTTGTTTGTTTGTTTGTTAGTCCTTACCCAAGGCTATTTTGCCATTGTTTTTGTTGTTGTTGTTGTTTTTAGATAGAGGGTAAGGGTGGGAGAGAGAGGGACACATCAATTGGTTGCCTCCCACATGACCCCAGCTGAGGCTGGGGATTGAACCTGCAACCCAGGTACATGCCCTTGACCAGGAATCAAACCCACAACCCTTCAGTCCTCAGGCCAGTGCTCTAACCGCTGAGCCAAACCAGCCAGGGCATGACTTTAAATTTAAATAGGCATGTGTGGCTAATGCGTGCCATATTGGATAGGGCACCTCTAAATTAAGGATAGCAAGGAGAATAAGATTAGTGCTTAGAGAACATCAGTAGTTCTGGGTTTTCATGTTGACCAGTATCATATTATCCTTTAGTGTGAAGATCCACCTCAGTCTTGGTTTAAAAATATTTAGAATCATTTCATAAAATACTTAGTCTGCTGATTTGGGCATCTGTTGTGTGGGGATGGGTAGCCGCCAGTAGGGCAGAGCTACAGAGTATGGTCCTTCCTCCCAAAGAGCCCATGTATACCCAGTGGTCACATATACCATAAAATAGGACCTCTAGGTTTTTGACCCTGCACACCAGGGAGGCCAGACCTTGGCACAGTGTTTCCAGGTAGGGCAGAACGGAATTTGGGCAAGAGAGATGGGTTCTGGTGTTGCCTTCTGCCTTCAGGTGGGAAGTTCCTTAATTGGGAGTCTTCAGGTAGCTAAGAAGAGTTGTTCATCAGGCCTGGATCCCTACTCTTTGGTTATAGACTGATATCAAAGTAGTGGCTCATGGGAAGCAGTAAGCTAGAAGGTCAGGGGTCTGGGATCAGGGTGTAGCAGGGAGAACGGGACAGCACCATGCAGCCAGTTAAAGGAGTAGCAGTCTCCTGCCCCTGAGGATTTTCCAAGCCAAACACGTACAATTTAAGAAACATTGTGGACCAATAATAAAAACAATACAAAAACCTAAACTATTCTTTTATCTCCTTTCCCTAAGTTTTCCATCTTTCTTCTCTCCTTCTCACCCCACCCGCCTTGCTATTTTTCCATCTGCGAAGCTGTGAGTGTGCTTACAGGTAGGTGGCAGCAGGCACACAGGGTGGTCAGAGCCCTTCTTTGGCTGGAGGGAGGTGGGGGCTCCAGCGCCTGTCTCACCCTGTTTCTAAGACACCTACCTGCCTTTGGGCTCCCATGGTGGGGAAGATAGGGACTGGCAGGGAAAGGTGGACGCAGTGACTGAGCACCCAGCACTTCTTGGCTTCCCACTTGGCTTATGTCTGCACTCTGCTTCAACTGAAGTGATGGTCTTGTTTTTTGGCCAGAAGACCCGATACTGTAGAAGGGAGGAGACCTCTTTGTTTTAGAGGCGGCAGCTGGGTCAGGGCAGTGGAACTCTAAATTAGACAGCAAAGCAAGCAACTCTCCTGGGACTCTTTCCTTTCAGAACAGTCACTGCTAGATGTAGTTATCCTCAAAAAAGCTGTGGGTGCCTTGGCCAGTGTGGCTAAATGGTTAGAGCATCGGCCCTCACACCAAAGGGTCATGGGTTCGATTTCTGGTCAAGGGCACATACCTGGGTTGCAGTTTCGATTCCTGGCCCCAATTTGGGCATGTCAGGAATCCACCACTTGATGTGTCTCTCTCACATAGATGTCTCTCCCTCTCTCCCTCTCCCTCTCTCTCTCCCATTCTATCTAAAAGAAAAAAATGGAAAAATATCCTTGGAGAAAAGCTGTGGGCTGGCTCAGTGGACCTGAGTTTTCTTTTTTAGGACTGTATGTTTATATTTCTTGCATACCTGCCTGTGATCTTGAAGAATTATTTCTAAAAGTCTTTTTGTCTGGCACTTCATTACATTTCAGCACTATCCGCATCGGTCACACTGGAATGCAGGTTCAGCACATCACCGAAAACATTGCTGCTGTCACAAGAAAGCTTTCACAGAAATTGCCAGAGGTATGGTCTTACAGATACATTAATTGATTGTTTATTTTAAAGAAACAAAATATGTGCAGATTATATTGCTCTATTTTGTTTGTTTCAGAAGTGGGAGAGTGTGAAACTCTTGTACGTGAAAACTGAGAGATCGGTTGCCCTTCCGATCTTTTCTTCATTTGTCAGCTGTCAGGGTGAAGCCAAAGGAGTGCGCACTCCTAGTCAGAAGAAAAAAGTGAGTAGAATTTTAAATACTGGGTAGACTTAGTCAAGGATGTGAATGCTGCCCAGAGAGAGAACTAGGTTGCCAATCCTGCCTTGACTTTTTGTCTTTCACTAGTTTTCCAGTGCTTTTGTGTTCATTGTCCCTTCTTTACATATGACACTAGTTAATATTGGTGTGAATAAAGTACAGTAGGACATAAATATTGTGTAGTTATGATAAGTTAGGTGTTTTAATTTCTCTTAAAAGGTCTAGTTAGGCTTAAAAGGGGCCTATTCATTGGCAAGAGGAGCTAAGAGAAAGAGGAGAAGCAAAATCTAGTTTAATTCTTTGTTATTTATGGGCAAAATTTAAGATTCTATTAGGCTAACAGACACCTCTTGTTTTTGGCTTGTTGATTTTCAGTGCTAACAGGTACTATTGCAAAAGAAGCCAGAATGAGAGAAAATTGAATTTTTTGCTCCTTGTTGGACCAATCTTCTAGTTTATTTATTCTTTCTTCAGCCACATTGTGTCCACTTTTTCATTTTGATTTTTTTATATTTTTACTTCTAGAAGTTCCATGTTTTGTTCTTTTTCAGATTGGCTATTTTTGGTTTTCTGTTACCTATAAATAGTCTTCCAATTCATCTTTTTTTTTTTTTTTTCAATTCATCTTAATTCATGGAACATGTTAAACACAATTACTCAGTAGTTATCTGCTAATTCAAATAGTAGAAGTCTTCGTGTTGCAGGTTGTCATCCCTGCCTGCCGGTTCCTTATATATTTGGTTATCTCTGACTGTGTGACAGTTATGGCATTTGGGAAAGTACTTGTAGAAATGATTTGAGATGTAGGAGTAAGATTCTTTCCCTGGAGGATTGATATTTGTGTCTGCCAAGCACCTTGGGGCACTCTCAGTTTGGACCATCTAAATGTGCATTGCTTGCAGGTTCCTGAATGATAATGTAAACCATTGTGTTAAAGTTGCAGGACTCTGTGTTTCTTCCTCATCTTTGCCCTGTGGGTCAAACTCATGGGGTCCCAGCTTATTGTGAGGGGGTGTTTCCTCTTAGAATCCCTACTCAGTGTGGATGCTGGGATTTGATTTCCCTTTATATACCACTTCTACCCCCTAGTTTTCGCATGACTCTTAAAACAAAAGTTAGTGATCAGGAACTACTGTCTGGGCAAAAATGGATTCTGGGCTCATTTACTCCATTGGGTTCTTGTTTTTAATTTCTTACATATAATCACCTTATTATTGCTTTTATGAAAAAAAACATTTAACAATATTTTACTTTGCCTTTTTACTTGTTTTTATTGGGAGGATGATCAAAAAATAATATAGACTTATAGGAATCAGGAAGTCTGGCTTTTTTGCCATTAGCAGATTCAGTTGAAGGCTTTGTGAAGATGTTGGAATCGCTGGTTAAAATGGAATTTGGATGTTATTATAGATGTTATTTAACAGTATTCTGTGGTAAGGATTCTGGGCCTCTGGCTATGTAAATCTTTTACTGTTTTAACTTTTCAACCACAACTCGAAGTAGGAAAAGAATGGTTGGGGTTTGTTTATTTATTTTTTTTCGGTAACAGCTTTATTGAGATGCAATTCACATCACATACAGTACAATCTAGGTGACACTTTTTTTTTTATCCTCACCCGAGGACATTTCTCCACTTTTTGTTCAGATAGAGTGGGAGGGAGAGAGAGGAAGAGAGACAGAGAAACATCGATGTGAAAGGGACACATCGAGTGCCTGCCACCCACACGACCAACCAGAGCCGGGGACAAACTGCAACTGAGGTACACGCCCTTTGCGGAAACTGAACCCGGGTCTCTCTGGACCTCAGACCGACGCTCTAACCGCTGAGCAAAACCGGCCAGGGCTAGGTGACTCTTCATTCACCTATAAATGAGATTAACTTTCACAAAACCTGTGCCTGTGTATAAGTAGTGATACATAATTTCTCACATAAAATGCATCTGTGTCCATGACCCAGAAACAAAGTAGAGACAGGGTTCAAGTGCTGGTAATGGGGTTTGTTTGCTTAGAGCTTATACAAGTCAAGGCCCTTTTCAGGGAGCTTATGAGTAATGAGAACTGCAAGTGCTAAGTCTCTACCATTTATTTTCCAACTAAAGTATCTCCTACTAAAATTATGTTTGGTTTTTCGGCAGGAAGCAAAGAAAATGCAAAAACAAAAAGAACATAATAAAAAACGAAAGGAGAAGAAAAGAAACAAAAGGCTCATGAAACAGGATGGAAAGGCTACCTCGGCCCTGACTACAGAGGAGGCGGCCCCTAAAACTAGTGGCCCTCCTGTGAAGGACCCTGGACCCCAGAAGAAAGAGACCCTCAAGCCTGAGAAGAAAGAGACCCCCAAGCCTGAGAAGAAAGAGACCTCCAAGCCTGAGAAGAAAGAGACCCCCAAGCCTGAGAAGAAAGAGACCTCCAAGCCTGAGAAGAAAGAGACTCCCAAGCCTGAGAAGAAAGAGACCCGCAGAGTAAAAGCCCAAAATAAAGTGCAAGATGAATCCGAAGAAGAAATTCCATTACTGGTTCCAATAGGAGAAACTCCTGCCAAAGGAAACATCGAGGTATGTTTGCTAATATTTATTCACAGTAAATTGATTTAGTGGCCACTGTGAGTCAGGCAGGCACTGCTGAGTGGTGACTGTAAGAATTGTAGCATTGATGGGAGGCAGGCACTGTTAGTAGAATTCTGTTTCGAGGGAAACCTGTTCTACCAAAGATTTTGAAATGATAGAGAAAAATACTAGGATAAACCCTAAGAACCCAGGAGATAGTTACCATGAATTACTTGACCTTTTGTTTGAATATTAGAGCCATGCATAGTAAATACAGCCCTTTTATATACCTTGGAATCAAGGGAGAGTTGACCATATTAATAATTCTAAGAAACTTTGCCTGTGGTTTTCAGCTTCTGAAGGTGAGTCCTGGATCCTGTCTCAAAAATCTTCCAAACATTCCATCCCCAGTTGGTCTTTACACATTCAATTTGGAACCCCATGACCTCACCCATGTGCAAGGAATTTACAACTGAAGGTGAATAAGAGTCAAGATTAGGTCACAGGTTTCTCTACTGTGCTCCCAGTGGGTGCTTCCAGGAGGCCCTATACTCAGCCATTAGGAAAGATGGTTGTCCTTTGATCAGACCAGGAAGACCCCAGGATCCTCTTTATAGTAATGAATAATGGAATACAGCTACCTTTCGTCATTTCCTCATACTGAGGTATACCTTTGGGGGGTTACCTAAATAATCAAAAACAGTAACTCTTGGAGTTACATTGTCAGTTGGTTTTTCTTTTTCCTCAGACCCCTAACTTTTTTCTTTCTTTTTTTTTTTTTTTAATCCTCATTCGAGGACATTTTTCCATTTTTTGCTCAGGTAGAGTGGGAGGGAGGGAGAGAGAAAAAGAGAAACATTGACGTGAAAGGGACACATCGAGTGGCTGCCTCCCACACGACCCAACCAGGGCCGGGGATAAACTGCAACCGAGGTACGTGCCCTTAGCGGGAACCAAACCCGAGTCTCTCTGGACCGCAGGCCGACGCTCTAACCGCTGCGCCAAACCGGTGAGGGCTAACTTTTTTCTTTTGCTTAGGTACAAAAACATGCCACAGGAAAGAAGTCTCCAAAAAAGAGTCAAGGTCCCAACACACCTCGTGGAAAGAAGAGAAAGGCCTTTCCAGCTTTGGAGACTCCAAAAGCAGCAGAGCCTAAGACCCCAGGTAAAGGCTCAGAGAAGAAGCCAAGAATCAAAGAAGAGGTGGAGAAGCAAAGAAACGCCCCATTGGGGAAAAAAGACCCAAGACAAATGCCCAAAAAGCCAGAGGCCAAATTCTTCACTACAGCCAATAAATCTGCAAGAAAAGCTCCCCAAACCTCCAAACAATGGCCCAAAAAAACCAAAGTGCCCCAGTCGACTTAAAATCAGTGACTCAACCAGGAGGAAACATCAGAGCTGCCTGGAGAACTTTTGAAAAATACCCGGGTTCTGACCCCTGTTGTAACCTTCTCCAAGAGTGAGGCCTGGACTTAAATATGTTCAAACCCTCCACACGTGATTCTGGTGTATGTTTGTGAGTGTAGGAACCAGTAGTTTGAATCCATTTTTAAATTGCTCTTCTGTGTATTTGCTAATATAATAAAAAATACAGTGCTTTTATTAAAGTGTAACATTTGTTTCTGAGTAAACTATTCCATATCTTGTTGGTTTATACTTGAATGCCTATGATATAACCTTTATCTGGCTCCAAAACAGCAGTTTCTGCAAACATTTCCAAAGCTCACCTTCAAGTCAGTGATGGGCTTACTGCATGCAAATCAGCTGTGGAATTTATGGAAAATTTCAGGTTTCTTGGCCCATTATGCTGAGCTGGTATATCTTGGTGGGTCTTAGAAAGGTGGTAGTTGGCCAAGGTTATAAACCACTGATACATTTGGTGAGAAAAATTAACATGGCGTCATTTATAGAGGCACCACATTGAATCCTCCCTGCTAGAGGCAAGAAAATACTTAACTTCCTCCAGATCACTTCTCACCCTATATAGATTTGCTTAGATCTGGCACCTCTATGATAGGAAGCCTGGAAGCATAGACTGTTAAATTTGGGTGATTGTTAAATATATGCTGAGGCAGTAAATGACTTCTCAGGTATGCAGCCTGTTAGTGGATTAGAGTTGGGGTACACATCTCTAGTAGGAAGTGATGGGTTCGCTGTAGTATGGGAAAGCCAACGTGAGACATGCTTCCAAAGATCACACGGTTCAGAAACAATGACAAGGAATAAAGCTCTAGATGGTTCCTGGCAAGTTTGAGACAGCTGTTGCTTTTGAGCCGCACAAACTGAACTGTAATGTTATATATATATATATATATATTTTTTTGGTATGTGCCCCTAGCCACTAGGGCGTAATGGGAACTGAACCCGGGACTCTGATCAGCAGGCCTACTCTCCAAACCGGCCAGGGCTTTTTTAATGTTTTTTTAATTAATTTTTTTTTCTTAATCCTCACCCAAGGACATTTTTCCATTTTTTGTTCAGATAGAGTGGGAGGGAGAGAGAGAGAAACATCAACATGAAAGGGACACAAGTGGTTGCCACCTGCACGACCCAACTAGGGCCGGGGACATACTGCAACCAAGGTGCGTGCCCTTAGCAGGAACCGGACCACAGGCCTACGCTCTAACCGCTGAGCCAAAACGGCCAGGGCTTGATTATTTTTTTTATTTGTTAAGAGAGGAAGGTGGGGAAGAGAGAAAAAAACATCCATCAGCTGCCTCCTGCACACCCCCTACTGGGGATCGAGCTCGCAACCTGGGCGTGTGCCTTGACCAGGAATCTATCTGGGGACCTCTTGGTGCATGGGTCCAACACTCAACCAGTGAGCCACACCAGCTGGGCTGTAATGTTAACTTTTTAAATTGTGAAAGCCTCTAATATATAAAATAGTTTGTAACTCCAGTGTTCTTAATAGGCTTTTAAAAATGAATATAGCCCTGGCCAGTTTGGCTCAGCGGTTAGAGCGTCGGCCTGCGGTCCGGAGAGACCCGGGTTCGGTTCCCGCTAAGGGCACGTACTTCGGTTGCAGTTTGTCCCCGGCCCTGGTTGGTCGTGAGGATGGCAGCCACTCGATGTGTCTCTTTCACATCGATGTTTCTCTCTCTCTCTCCCTTCCACTATCTGTACAAAAAATGGAAAAATATCCTCGGGTGAGGATAAAAAAATAAAAATAAAAAAAAAAAAAAATGAATATAAACATAATATGTTGTAAGGGGTTTAGCTTAATTGAAACATTTTCCATGGAGACTAGATTCTGTGGGAAGGTGTTCAGACAGACTTATTTCACTTACTCAGAGGTGAAGATTTAAGTGCTGTTTTGCATAGGGCAGATGAACAGATAATCTGTTCTCTGTGTGACGCATCACTATTAGCTGAAGTCCATAGTTGACATTTGGGTTCACACTTAGTGTTATACATTCTATGGGTATGGACAAATGTATATTTACATGTATCCACCATTATAGTATACAGAGTATTTTCACTGCCCTAAAAGTCATTTATGCTGCACCTATTCATTCCTCTCACCCTCTCTCCGGAGCTCCTGACAACCACTGATCTTTTTATTACCTATAGTTTTGCCTTTTCCAAAATGTCATATAGTTAAACTCATACAGTATATAGCCTTTTCAGACTGGTTTCTATCACTTAGTCATATGCATTTAAGATTCTTCCAGGTCGCCCTGGCCAGTTTGGCTCAGCGATTAGAGCATCGGCCTGCGGTCCAGAGAGACCCGGGTTCGGTTCCCTCTAAGGGCACGTACCTCAGTTGCAGTTTGTCCCCGGCCCTGGTTGGGTCGTGTGGGTGGCAGCCACTCGATGTGTTCTTTTCACGTCGATGTTTCTCTCCCCTTCCCTCCCACTCTATCTGAACAAAATATCAAAAAATGTCCTTGGGTGAGGATAAAAAAAAAAAAGATTCTTCCATGTCTTCTCATGGCTTGGTAGCACATTTCTTCTTTTTTTTTTTTTTAAATTTGGGTGAAGATAAATATTTTATTTTTCTTTACTGGCTTTAGAGAGAGAGGAAGTAAGAGGGAGAGAGAGAAAACATCGAGAGAGAACGTCAGTTAGCCACCTCCTGCATGCCCCTCACTGGGGATTTGGCCCACAACCTGGGCATGTGCCCTGACCAGGAATCGAACTGGCGACCTATTGGTGCATGGGTCGATGCTCAACCACTGAGCCACACCGGCTGAGTGCACATTTTGTTTTTGTGCTGAAAAATATTTCATTGGAATATTATCTGCCATTTTTGGTAAGAATAAAGCTGCTATAAACATCTGTGTGCAGATTTATGTGTGGACACAAGTTTTCAACTGCATTGGATAAGAAGTGTAATTGCTGGATCATCTAAGAGTATGTTGGGTTTTTTTTTGTTTTTTGTTTTTTGTTTTTTTTTTGGTACATGTCCTAGCGGGAACTGAACCCAGGACTCTCTGGTTCACAGGCCGATGCTCCAACTGCTGAGCCAAACCGGCCAGAGCTGAGTATGTTGGTTTTTTAAGAAACTGCCAAACTGTCTTCCCAAGTGGCCTTACCACTTTTCATTCCCACCAGCAGTGAAGGAGAGTTCCTGGTGCTCCACATGCTCAACAGCCTTTGGAGTTAGCTGTTCATATAGGTGTGTGGTGGCATCTCATTTCAGTTTGCATTTCCCTGGTGATATTGACATGGAATAGGCTTATTTGCCATCTGTATATCTTCTATGCATAAGTATTCCTTTTTTATTCTCATCTTCCAAGCTTCCTTTAAATGAAATGATCAGATGTCAGCCCTCCTTCACTTTATTCCTTTAAATGTCTATCACAGAGAAAATGTTAAGAAATCCTTGCAGATGGGGAGGGTGCACTTTTGAAAAATACTCCTGGTCCCACCACAGACCTACTCAATTGGCGGGACCTAGGAATCTGTTTTTGTTTTGTTTTGTTTTTTTATCCTTACTTGACATTTTTGCATTTATCTTCAGATAGAGCGGGAGGGAGAAAGGAAAAGAGAGAGAAACATCAACGTGAGAGAGACACGTTGACTGGCTGCCACCCACACAACCCCAACTGGGGGCCGGGGACAAACTGCAACCAAGGTACGTGCCCTTAGCGGAACCGAACCCAGGACACTCTGGTCCATGAGCCGACGCTCTAACCGCTGACAAACCGGCCAGGGCATAGGAATATGTTTTTAACAAGCAGCCAGTGATTCCTATGATCAGGGAGGGTGGGAAACACCGGTATAAATGTCGTAGTGGCCTGGCTGGTTTTCTCAGTGGTTAGAGCATCAGCCTCCAGACTTTCAAGGGTTGCAGGTTCAATTCCGGTCAAGGCACATACCTGGGTTGCAGGTTCAATCCCTGGCCCTGGTTGGGGTGCGTGCAGGAGGCAACCAATCGATGTGTCTTTCTCACACTGATATTTCTCTCTTTCCCTCCGTCTCTTACACTCTCTAAAAGAAAAAAAAAAGCAATGGAAAAATTTTCTCAAGTGAGGATTAAAAAAAAGAATAAAGTAGGTAACTAACTGCTTTTCTCTTGCTGCTTTTAAGATTCTCTCTGTCTTGAACCTTTTGCATTTTGATAATGATGTGTCTTGGTGTGGGCCTCTTGGGGTTCATCTTGTTTGGGACTCTGTGCTTCCTGGACTTGTATGTCTGTTTCCTTCACCAAGTTAGGGAAGTTTTCTGCCATTATTGTTCCAAACAGGTTTTCGATTTCTTGTTCTCGCTCTTCTCCTTCTGGCACCCCCAAGATGCGAATGTTGGCACGCTTGAAGTTGTCCCAGAGGCTCCTTACACCATCCTCATTTCTTTGGATTCTTTTTTCTTTTCTTTTTTTTTCTTTCTTCTTTTTTTTATAGATGGATTCTTTTTTCTTTTTTCTTTTCTGATTGGGTGTTATTTTGCTTCCTGATACTCAAAATCGATGGTTTGTTTCTTGGCTTTACCTAGTCTACCATTGAATCTGTGTAAATTATTCTTTATTTCAGTTAGTGCCTCCTTCATTTCTGACTGTGCATCCTTCATTTCTGACTGGTCCTTTTTTATGCTCTTGAGGCCCTCACTAAGTTCGCTGAGGTTCTCACTAAGTTCATTGAGCATCCTTATAAGCAGTATTTTGAACTCATTATCTGTTAGGTTGCTTACCTCCATTTCGCTTAGTTCTTTTCCTGGGGTTCTGTTCTGTTCTTTCATTTGGGACCTGTTTCTTTGTCTCCTCATTTTGGCTTCCTCCCTGTGTTTGTTTCTATGTATTACTTAATGTGAGGTATGGGGCTAGCTGAGACCAGATGCTGCTTGTTTGAAAGAATTTAGGAAAACCTGAAGCAGGATCCAAGACAGGCCAATCCTATGGTTAAACAACTGGCAACAGCTTGGGTGGGCCTGAAAGTTGGGTGGGGCAGGGCAACCAGTGTGAGCCAGGTTGCTGGAGTCCCAGATATGGCGACTGTCTGCCGCCCCAGGGAAGGGCTCACCAAAGGGACAAAGGCCTCTGACAGCACGTTTGTCCCTGAGAAAGCCCCCTCTCCAGCCCTCGCTCCAGTGCCA